AGTCTGTGTTTGCAGTGATCAGCAGGACAGCATTAAAGGCTTCAGCAGTCCCCAGAATTTCCATCATTCCCTGGGACACTGCCCCTTGTAGCAGTTCTGGTTCCTCACACAGTGCCCTGAGAGCCTGTCTGGGTGTCCCCTCTCTGGGTGTCCCCTCTCTCTGGCTCCCCTGCAGGTCACACACCCCACACTGGCCATTGACCTCCTCCGTTTGGCTTTTCCCCAGGTCAGAAATTCCCTGTTGGCTTTCAGCTCTCTGGCTGATGTAGGCTAGGAACAAACATCCCTGTGAGAGCTCTTGGGGCTGAAAAATCCACTGTGCTTCACTGAGTAAGAGCTGTGCTTTGCAGAGATATCTAATTTTGTTTTATGGTTCCCGTGTTTTCCAGTACCATTTCAGTATTACTTATTCCTTCTGGAGAAGGGGGGCTTCTCAGGTTCTTCTTCCCTGCTGGAATGTGGCTTCCACCCTGAGCTCTGTGTGTTGTGTACCTCAAGCTGCACGAGATACAGATATGGAAAGATGCAGCTAAAATTTTCCAGAAATCTTTCCTATGTTAGAATCCCAGAATGGTTTAGGTTGGAAGGGACTTTGAATGTCATCCCACCCTCATCCCACCCCTGCCATGGCAGGGACACCTTCCACTGTCCCAGGCTGCTCCAAGCCCCAATGTCCAGCCTGGCCTTGGGCACTGCCAGGGATCCAGGGATGCTCTGGGCACCCTGTGCCAGGGCCTGCCCACTCTCCCAGGGAGCAATTCCTTCCCAACATCCCATCCCTCCCTGCCCTCTGGCAGTGGAAGTCATTCCCTGTGTTCTGTCCCTCCATCCCTTGTCCCCAGTCCCTCCCCAGCCCCCTGGGACCCCTTCAGGCACTGCAAGGTTGATGTTGTTTTCCCTCAGCACCCATTTCTCAGAAACGTCTTTTCATTTCCAGGCTCTTCCAGGCTCTTCCTCCTTCCCCAGCACCACTCCCCCCCCAAAATCACAAATTTCCTCAGCTGAGGGTTGTATGGGAGGGTTAACATTTTCCTTCATCCAGGCTGACATGGAGCAAAAAGCTTTTCCCCACCTCCAGCTCCCGGGGAGCCTTTGGAAATGAAGGCTGCAAATCACATTAGATTGTATTTCACTAAAGGTTTTCTCTGTCCTAGAAAACTCCTGCCTCCTTCTGAAATACACTCAGCTTAAGAAGAGACTAATATATTTACTCTAACTGTGCTCAGTCTAGGAATAATTTTGCTGTAGAGATTAAATTTTTATATCATCTTGAAGAAAACCAACTCCTGCCAGTCCCCAGGGATCCCCTGTCTGGCTGTTCCAGCAGGAGGGGCTCAGATCTTGGCAGCTCCACGTGGTATCTTGCTTTTTCTTTTTCCTTCTATTCCTGCAGTACAATAGCAATATATTCCATTTGTTCCAAAGTTCACAATTTTTTGGAGATTCTGAAAAAAAAATCCTGTTTCAGCTTTGGGTGAGTGTGGCTTTGGGATGAGTGAAGCTTGTGGCTGCTCAGAGCTCTGATCTGCACCAACACCTCATCTCCATGCAGCCCATCTCCTGAGCTTGCAGAATTCCCTAGGGGCTGAATCCACTCCAAAGATCAAGATTTTTTTGGGGATTAGTGCTGTTTATCACTACAGGTAGGCTGGAGCAGGCATCAGGAGAGACTTTCTGGCAGAGGTTCAGCACTTCTGCTTTGTGCCTGCCCAGAACGATAAAGGATTTGCTCTGTGACTTGGGAACAGTCCTGACTCATTGCTTTCAACCTTTTCTTCGGAGAAATGAGCTGTTGGCACCATGCTCCTTCCCTTTTTTGTTCATGCTGTCTGTGTGTGTCACTTCTAGCCCTTTCAGGCCAATTCAAAGCAGGTTTCATGGAATCCCAGAATATCCTGAGCAGCCACATGGGTTGGGCTCAGGGAAACTCCTGAAGTCACAGCAAAGGTAGCCCAAGTTCACAGAAAGGTGCCCAAAAATGTGGTGAATAAAAGCCAGTGAATGGATTGACTGGATGAGGATGTGCTGTCACCATTTGTGTTCAGTTCTGCCCCTCCTGAGGCACCTTTTTAGCCAGCTGGAAACAAATTCCTTCCTCTTCTGTTTGGACATGAATTGTCTTCCTTGACAAATGTTCTTCACTCTTGCTTGGTGTGCCACACACCAGAGTGACATTCCTGAACCCTCCCAACAGCCTGGGCTGGAGAGGAAATGTTGAACCAGCACAGAGACAGACAGGGGATCCTGCCTGGCACACCCCACCTGGCAATCTTCATCTCCATGACTCTCCTTGCAGGTGCTCTCCTGCAAGGCAGGATGGTGGGCTCATGGTGGTGCCCTGCCCAACACAAGTGGATCCATTTGATTGATTTCTTTGGTTACATGATGTTGGTTTATCAGCATTTACCAACTCAAAGTACTAGAAAGACAGAATGTGCAGAAATGAAGTGACTGAGCAGAGAGAAATGAGTGCTGGGATCTGGTGTGGCCTGGGTGGTTGGTGGTGTTCTGAGCACTGTGGGAGGGTCCTCACCTCGAATTCCAGGTCCTTCACTGAGCTGCTGTGCTTGGGAGCACAAATCCCTCACCTTAGCCAGAGGTAAGAACCTCTGGAGACTGGCTGGGATCTTGTGGGGAATGGATTGGCTTTGGAGGGACCATCCTTCCCTGCTGGCTTCAGGTGTGGAGCTCTGGGACAAGCACTGCCTTGGTGTCTGAGTTAATGATCTGTTATTAGCTGCTGGTAATAACCTGAACTTGTGATTTTACAGCCTGCTTCTAACAGAGCCAGGTGCTGGGATGTCCATGGTTCCCACATCCCACTGAGTGTCCTCCATCCATGGAGCCTCTGTCCCCCTCCCCTACAGAAAATCCCCACGTCCCTCCTCACAGGAGTGTGGCTTCAAAGCACAGAAAGCAAAAGCACTGGGGCAGGGAGAAATGTGTTCAAAGGAAGCAAGAAAAGCAAAATTAAGCTTTAAAAGCAAACTGGGAGATGCTGAGGGTTCCTGGAATGGAACCTCTTGGGGTTGGGAAGTTCATGGAGTGATCTGCTGAGCTTCTGCAGGCCACAAAGTGCCACCCATCCCAGCCTTCCTGAGTGATCCCCTGGCTCCTGCTCAGCCTGGAGCTGGGAAAGGCAGCCTGGATGTGTGATCACAGCCTGGGGCTCCTGGCAGCTCATTTGTTGTTATTGTCCTGAGATAAAATCTAATCAAGCCCAGTGTGGTCAGAGCGGCTCTCATAGAGCAGGGAAGGATGTTGAGGACTTCCTTGTCAGAAGGAATACTACTACTAATAATAACAACAACAACAATGATGATGCAATAATAATAATAGTAGTAATAGTCATAATTCTTCAAACTGTTCTTCCAACTGTGATTTACACTCCCAGCTCATTTTTTCCTGTCTCTCAATGCTACTATTTAAATCTGTGGGCAGGCAGGACCGTTTTGTCCAGGACAATGGAAGTCAGTGGTAGATTTGGGAGCTGGACCAACCTCAAGGTTATTGTCCCTTCAAAAGCTTCAGAGGTGGCAAAATCTGTCCTGTTTTCAGTCAGGGCTCTGCCATTGAAACAATGGAAATATACCCTGGTGTCTTTCAGTATTAAAAAACCAAACAGACACAAAAGCAAACCAAAATCCATCATTATTATTTTTGTGTTTCTGACAAAAGGAGTGAATCTGCTAATGAAAAATATTTAAATTCCAGGTGTTCTGTCTAATAAATAATAACATGAGCATGGACTTGGCTTCTCATTGCCACCACCAAATCATCTATGGAGCTCTTTATGTGCAGCTCATTTTGAACTTTGCCTATTTCCTTCAGCTATGCAGATATAAATAAATAATTCCCCTTGATAAGGGTCTGGGAACACTGTACTTTAAAAGATAAGAAAGGTTTGAGGGGAAATTTTTTTTAAATCCCTACCATTTGTATGCTGTTCACTGTTCACACTGAGCAAAAATTCATTCAGCTGGCACTTAACCAACCCTGTTTTATTCCTGCTCTGTGTTCAACCTATCCTTCTCCTGGGGACATCTAGCCTTCCATGTAATTACCTCCCCAAGAGTGGGAAGGAGGCCTGAATAACCTCCCCACCAACTCAATAAATGCACAGATCCTGGGACAGGTTATCAGCTGCATGCCAGGGGCAGGACTGGCAGGAGCAGTGTGCCTGAGCCGTGAGGAACTGCAAGACTTGAGTCATTTTTATTCTAGCTTTGGGCCAAAGAAGGAGGACATGGAATGTCTGCAGAAAACCAACCCAAAACAGCCAGAAAGCCAAAACAACCAGGATTTTTAGAGTATTTTTTTCCCCTTGGGAGCTGGAAATAACAGAAATAGGTTTTACCAGGGATGGGTTTTTACCAAAAATGGGTTTTACCAGGTATGGGTTTTACCAGTGATGGGTTGTTTTACCAATTATCAGTTTTACCAGAGATGGGTTTTACCAATGATGGGTTTTACCAGAGATGGGTTTTGCCAGGGATGGGTTTTTGCCTATGATGGGTATGGTCAGTGCTTTGTGTGTGGAGACGCGAATTTGACTCCATGTTTCAGAAAGCTGATTTACTATATTATGATATATATTAAAATGATATACTAAAACTATACTAATAGAATAGAGAGAAAAGGATTAATCAGAAGGTTAGAAAGAACAGGAATGGAATGAATAACAAAGGCTCCTGACTCCCAGATAGTCCAAGCCAGCTGACTGTGATTAGAAACAACCAACATGCACCAATCACAGATGCACCTGTTGGTAAACAATGTCCAGACCACATTCCACAGCCATCAGATAGTTGTTTACATTTATTTTCTGAGGCTTCTCAGCTAGAATAGGAGAAAAATCCTAGTAAAGGATTTTTCATAAAATATCATGGCTACAGATGGGTTTTACCAGGGATGGGTTTTTACCAGGATGGGGTTTTACCAGGGATGGGTTTTACCAGGGATGGGTTTTACCAGAGATGTTGTTTTTGTTTTTCCCCCAGGTCTCTCCAAGTCCCTTGGTCTCATTGAGGGCTATGGTGGCCGTGGCAAGGGTGGCCTCCCAGCCACCCTGTCCCCCGAGGAGGAGGAGAAAGCCAAGGGACCCCACGAGAAGTACGGCTACAACTCCTACCTCAGTGAGAAGATTTCCCTGGATCGTTCCATCCCGGATTATCGCCCCACCAAGTAAGTGCCAGGGTCTCCAGGAGGGAATGTTTGTGTCCAGGTGTCACCCCAGAGCCAGGAGTGCTGCTGCTTTCCCAGTCAGGTTTGGTGCTGCTGGCTCTTCCCTCATTGTTCACAGGGCCCTGCTCAGTGATGAGAAACGGGAGTTGCTGGGCTGGAATGAGCTCATGGAGTCACAGAACCACTGATGTTGGAAAAGCCTCAAAGGTTATTGAGTCCAACCATTCCCCAGCACTGCCAAGGCCACCACTCACCTGTATCCTGAAGTGCCACATCAACAGAGCTGTTAAACCTCTACAGGGATGGGGGTGCACTGTCCTGGGCAGCTGTGCCAGGGCCTGACCACCCTTTTTGTCAGGAAATAATTCCTAACATCCAACCTAAACCTCCCCTGGCACAACTTGAGGCTGTTTCTGCTTGTCCTGTCAGCTGGTACCTGGGAGAAGAAACTGATCCTCACCTGGCCCCACCTTGGTTCCAGGTAGTTGGGGAGAGTGAGAGAGTTCACCAAGATGATTTATCAGGGGGAAAAAAGTGAATTTCTTCCCAGTCTGTCTCTGTTTTCCTAAAACAGTCCATGATTCTAGGTGGAAGTGATACCATCAGAAGTTCAGCTCTGCTTTCACTGAGCTTTTGGTGTTTAATATCCTGTAAAAGTGTGCAGAAATTCTCCCTCTCTCCCCTCCCTCCCTGACAGCTCCTTCCCATCCCTGCAGGACCTCCAGGGCCCTTGGGCTGCCCTCAGGCTCTTCCCAGCGCAGGAATCCTCCAGAGACACTCTGGGATCTCCCACTGGAGATCTGGGCCTTTAAAGGGAGTTTCTACAGGCCCTCTCCTTTTTTGATAGAGCTTTTAAGGTGCTGGTGATGTTTACCTGCCAAGCAGCACAGGAGAACAGGCTTTAGAAGAGGTGACACATCATTTTGTTAAGAGGATGAGGAAAGACACGCTGCAAGTATATCTTTGTGAAGTTTAATTTTAGATATGGCTGCCAGAGTGTTCCTCAAAATAGAAAAGTGTCAGTTTGTCCAGGCCTGGAGTGAAATCCCTGATAAAAAAATGAACCGAGAGAGGTTTAGATTGTGAAAGATCCGTGTCCATTGCCTGTGTCACTGGGGCAGTGACAAAGCTGTTGCCTGGCATCTGCAGAGCATTGAAAACCATGCAGCCAGGGATGCAGCTCTGTGTGTCAGGTGGTGGCAGATTGTCCAGGCTGGGGGAGCAGGGGCAGCTCCTGTTCCCTCTGTCCCCAGAGCTCCAGATTGTCCAGGCTGGGGGAGCAGGGGCAGCTCCTGTTCCCTCTGTCCCCAGAGCTCCAGATTGTCCAGGCTGGGGGAGCAGGGGCAGCTCCTGTTCTTTCACCTCTCTGGGTGCTGCCTGAATTCTGTGCAGCCCCTTGGAGCATCCAGGGCTGTCAACCACTGACAACAGAAATCCCTGGATGAGTTTCCAAAGGAATAGAGGCATTGTGCTGCTGCAGCTCCTCTGCCAGGCTGAATTGCAGGTACAAATTGCACCTTTGCCTCTGTGATATGCAAATCCCAGCACAATGCTGGATCCTTGGAGCGAGACCTTCTCCAGCACTTACCTGAGGCTGAGCTGCTGATTTCCATTTCTCATCCCCAGCTCTGACTTACAGCAGAGCCAGCATTACTTGGCAAGAATTAATTTGAGAAGTAATGTTTCTCTTCATATTTGGGGAGAAGAAAAGGATTAATTCTGACATTTTCAGGCTTGCGTTGTATTTTTCCTCAGTTCCACTATCCATCATTCCATGGGAGAGTGGGGGAGAGGACAGGGCACAGCATTAAAAATGCTTCATTTTGGAGCTGGGCTGAGACTTGGGAGGGAATTTGTGGGTACTGAGTGCAGCTGAACAACTTAGTGCTTTTTATCTGTGTAAGAACTTCAGGAGTGCATTCTGGTTATTGGTTTTCTTTTTGTTTTGGGGATCAATTGGCTTGATATTGTAAGAGAACAGTTGATCTGTGTGTAATAGGCTGGAGTTTGCTGAAGAATTTAGAAAGTTTCACCTCTTCCTTCCTCTGGCTTCAAGGTTCCCTCGCTATTTAGTGCATAAAGTTTTATGGCTGATTTTATGAAGGGTTGAACACAAACCATTTAAGTCAAGTATCCTGGTCTCTGATTAAAATAGATTCAAGTCAAGGGAAATTAGCCTAAATGGCTTTGAAATTGCAGCATTAGTGGGGAAAAAACGGTTGAAAACCCTCCAGCTGATAAGCATTACAAAGCATGTAGTAGTTTTAAATATAATGGTGAAACTGTGTGGTTCAGCTAAAGCCTGCAGAGTGTCTGGAATGCCAATGGACTGGCACTGGTCCTGGCACAGGCTGGCACTCCCCAGCCTTTCCTCTCAGTTTTCCCTGATTTTAAGGAAAGATGCATGTGGTCAAGTGCACTGCCCTGAGTGCTGAGCAAAGCTGCACCAGAGCTCTGAGGCCTTTTCCTGCTCCTTTCTTGTGCCTGTGGCCAAAGGGAAGTGGAGCAAGGAGGGTTATGGGGAAGTTTGGCACATTTCATGTGTATTTTTGTCTCCAGGCTCCTTGCACCTCGTGGTCAGCACCACTGAGGGTTCAGGGAGTCAGATATCCCTGCTCCAAGGGATTTCAGGAGCTGTTGGTGAGGAGGAGCCAGTCCAGCTCGCAGCTCAGGGCCTCTCAGTCCTGCCCAGAGGCAGAGAAAGGAGGGAGTTTCCCTGGGAAAATGGTCCCAGAGGTGTGAGGATGATGTTTAGGAGAAGGTGAGGTCTTTCCCAGCACCAGGAGCTGTGGCAGAATACCTTGTTTGCCCTGATTTGGGGAATTGTGGTGTCACTTTCTGGTAGTCTGGATTATCATCTTTGCTTTAGTTGAATTATTTCCTTACCCTTTCCTTTTCTTTCCCTTATCCCTTCCCTTATCCCTTCCCTCCTCTCTCCCCTTTCCCCCTTCCCTTTTCCTTTTTCCCCTCTCCCCTTTCCTATTCCACTTTCTTTATCCCTTCCCTTTTCTCCTTCTTCCCCTTCCCTTCCCCGTACCCCCTTCCTTCTTTCCCCTTTCCTTTTTTTACTTCCCCTTCCCTCACCTCTTTCCCCCTCCCCGTTCCCTTTTCCCCTCTCCTCTTTCCCCTTCGCCATTCCTCCTTTCTGCTTTCCCCTTTCCCCATTGCTGCTGGGGCTGCTCACCTGGGCTGGGAGGTGGAAACTCTTCCCTGCTGTTCCCCGCTGAGGAACTGGGGTTGTCCTGGGCTGATTCCCAGAGCAGTGGTGCCAGAGGTGTGGGATGATCTGTGTGGAGCTGGTTCCAAGCAGGAGCTGTGCCTGCCACTCCTGGACCTTACCCTGATCTCAGCCCTCTGCTGAACAGGAAAGGCTGTGCTGGCTGTGCATGCGATTTTCCAGTGAGCCAGGTAACAGATTCCAGCTGGGATGGCTGGGAAAGCTCTTCCTTGGACTAAAATAGGCAGGACTGGTGTTTTGGGGTGAATTATTCCAGACCTTGCTGCCAAGCAGTGCCATAATGAGAAGGGCACTGGGAACACATGCCTATCATGCTTGATTGGGTTTTTTGGCTTTAAGATGAGATTCCTGCATGTTCTGGAAAACAATCTCATCTTCCAGATTGGAAGTACCCAAGGTGCTGCCTGCAGCCTGCAGGACTTCTTCACAAATCTTCACAAAAATGAGCTGGAGAGATTTTCTCAATTTTCTGCAAAAGCCTCTGAAGGAGAAGGCTGCTGTGTGAGTTTTATTGTTTATCCATTCCCAGCACTCACTGCCTGCCTGGGGAGGATGGGGGTTTGGGAGATGTGTTGTTTTCTATATTGAAAGTGAAGCATATTTACATGGGATGCCAGGGCCTGCAAACATTCCCTGCTTGGATACAACATTTTATGCATCTCTGTTTTATCCTGTGATACAGCATTTAATGGGAACCTTTCCTATGTGTAGCCAGGAAATAAAATTGCTTTGTTAGATCAGACTGCCTGTCCATCTTATCCAGTATCTAATCTCTGATAGTGGAATTACCAGATGCTTCAGGTTGAAGAAATCATATTAAGGGAAACTATGAAATAATCTGCCCATCTGGTACATTCTGCCTCCCCCATTCTTTCCTTTCAATCCTATCCAACATAAATGTGGAGTTCTCATTATCTCTTAAAAAGTCTGTTCTTTTCTGGAATCCTGCTAAGCTCTGATTCAGTGGTATTTTATGGCATTATAGGATTAAGGGGTAGATTTAAGAGAAATAATACCCACAATTGTTAGGACTATTGGATCATTGGGTGCAGATGACACATTCCTGCTGCTGCAAATCTCTCAACAGCTGTTCTCGGGAGGGGAGCCTCGAGGTATTAAAGTGAAGAGCGAGGATGGTGTAAGAGATAAGTAACTCCCAGAGTTTGATTTTTCACATGTTTTAAGGGTTTCCCAGCCTGGAGACACAACCCCTTCTCCTGCCTGCCTTGGGGTCCTGCACATGGGTCAGGAGGTGCATGGAAAGGGACTTTGGACAAGGGGATGTAATGATAGGATGAGGGGGAATGGCTTAAAAATGCCAGAGGGTAGGGCTAGGTGGGGATATTGGGAAGGAATTCCTGCCTGTGAGGGTGGGGAGATACAGGAACAGGTTACCCAGGGAGGTTGTGGCTGCCCCTGGATCCCTGGCAGTGCCCAAGGCCAGGCTGGATGGGGCTTGGAGCAGCCTGGGACAGTGGGAGGTGTCCCTGCCATGGCAGGGATGGCACTGGATGGGCTTTAAGGTCCCTTCCAACCCAAACCCTTCTGGGATCCTCTGATGGAAAAGGTTTGGAGGTGTTGGGAGCCTGATTTGCTGCTGTGTTCTCACAGCACCTGGTCTGTGTTTGCCCTGGGACCTGTGGAGAGGTGCCCTGGGCAGAGCCCCCCATCACCTGCTGCTGATGAGGGAACAGTTGCACATCCCTGCCTGCTGTAGCTGTTCCCGTGGTGTTTGGGCTGAGTCAGAGCCATCCCCCTGTGG